TCGCGTTTTTCTGGAGGGTCTAATAAGTTACTTACCATGGGGATCTAGCCTGCTAAACAGAGAACCAGCGTCGTAGGACCGGAAACCAGAGTTTTCCCTGAAGTTAGCCGGCTAAGCGAAAATTCTGCTTCGTAGTATACCCCCCAGGTGTCCCACAACAAAAACTATCTCTGACCGAGAGTTGCCCGATCATAAACTGGTAACAACAACAACTTGCTAGGGCAGCCCCTCCTTAAGGGAGATAGCTGCTGTCCAAGGCTGGTCAGCTGCGTCAGAGGGCGAAGGAGGACAGGGTCAATTATTTCCCAAAAAAAACAACAAACATATCTGAGAAAATAGTCAAATGACAAGATAAATGTGAAAATACCAATGAATGGGTACAAAACACAATGACTCAAATACAGTTAGAATACAATAATTAAAATTCCATAGCATATCTAAAAAAAATACATGAATGTATAGGGGCCGGACAACTAAAGTAACATGTGATTGACAGTGACAGCAGCTCCTCACCTGTGTGCGTAGGGTCTGAACTGTCAGGGCCTCCCCCTCCACTGCAGCTGGTCCGGTGAAGCCCTTCCTGCCTGAGAAGCTCCACTTGCCGAAGTGGCTCTCGTAGTGAAGCCCCCCGCCCGGCCCGAAGCCGGCCCGCTGACCCGCTCTGTGGCCCGAGGTCTCCAGGAGGCTCGGGACGCAGAAGCGCTCCGGGCCGGGCAGAGGGGGGGGGAGCAGAGAGCTGCTGAAGGACAGCTGGGAGCTGGACAGCTGGTGGCCCAGGAGCCCCTGGATGGAGGACGTTCGCTGCAAGGAGCTGAGCAGGCCTGCCTCCATCCTGCCCTCTGATTGGCTGAGCAGAGCTAGTGGGAGGGGCTGGGGGTGGCGAGGCCAGCTCTGGGTTGGACCTACAGGGTTGTCTGTACCTGAAAAGCAAAATAAGTGTTTCTTAAAAAAGGTAAAACATTGAATTATTTCAGCAAACAAAAATAACGTTGCTACTATATTTGTTTACAACACCCGAAGCAGTGGTTGGCTTTAGGTCTTACCCATGAAAGGCTGGAGATTAGTGATGTGCGGCTGGGGCAGGCTGGAGGCGGGGGTGCTGTGGGTGGTGTGGACTGCTGGGTTGGTGGAGATGGAGGTGGAGCCCCCCCCGCAGTCTGAGTCCTCGATGTTACCTCCGCTGTTACAGCCCGCACCACAACCCTTCTGTAGCCTGCAGAGACCAGTCTCACATTACCATAAGAAGACATGGGACTTTTAATAGCGCTTTTCCAAATGCTCAAAGACGCTTTGCATACAATATGAACAGAAACAGTACAAAGAAAAGCAAAAACATAAATCCTAACCCAAGTGTGGAGTAAAATGGGGGGGTGGGCGGTGTTGTTGATCAGAGTTTGAAATCTAGAGTGAGTTGAGATATTTTCACTTAGCTTTCCCCCTGTCCCCAAAACACTGCATTCATCACATCAAGTCTAAAGCACGTACCTGTCCCAGCTGCTGATGAGCCAGGTGTAAATGTTGTGCGGGCTGACAGGCCCCCCCCACACAGAGCGCAGCTGGCTGTGCCCCCCGGCGTACGAGGTGGTGAGGGGGGACACGTAGATGGGATATCCGATGGGCTGGTCGCACGAGGAGTTGATCATATTCCTCAGGGCCTGCTTGGCGTTCTGAATGCTGCCGCGCTCTGGGTTACGGTTGCGCAGGAAGACCAGCTCCTGCTGCTGCCCCGCCCACAGCCCCCGCACACACTCTCTGTTCACCTGTAGGAGCAGAAGAAGAAGAAGAAGTGAGAGGAGAGCAGGAGGCGGAACGGCTGAATATAAACAACTACATCTGGTCCAGGGCAGAAAGAGCAGCATGGTGTAAATAAAGCAATTACATTTCATAGAAAAATGCACCAATAATCAATTAAAATAGATATTTTATATTGTAGTAAATATGTTAATCTTTCCATTAACTTCTTATGTTTACGTATATTGTTTTTGTCAATTTGATTGTATCTTTTATTGGACATATGTAACTTTAACACCCTCCTATATACACATCTATCTATTTTTGCAATGTTTTACTTCACTCAACTTAAAATGTCAGTTCAACTTAAATGTCAAATGTCAGTATAAAATAGAGCAGCCGTCACCCAGCCCGATCTCCCCCGGGATAAACAGATTATTTTGATTCCTAAAAACAAGCCGGAGACGAGGAGACAGCCGGTGATGCTTGTCTATGTTGAGCTGCTGTGATGAAAGTCACATTTCAGACTTGATCTGACCATTAAAGTATTATGGTATGGTAATAAGAGAGAGAGAGCTGTAACCTTGATGACTCTGAAGCTGAGGAACCTCTTGTTGAGCATGATGATCTTGTACTCGTCGCTGCCGTCATCCATGATGTGGCGCAGTGCGAGCAGTGAAGGCATGTTTGCTAAAATGGCGTCTGCGCCACACGGGGTCGCCCTCGTG